CGACCTTTACAAAGGTTGAACCCACTCCACCTCCTGGTGCAGGCCCAATTAAGTGGCTGTAAAGTTTGTTTGGGAAAAGCCCCGATAAACATAAATCTCAATATGTATTTCCAATGTCTTCATCTTCATTTTCATCGGCGGTAGCTATTCCCTCCGCCGGGCAATATCAATCTTTCATCTTCATCTGCATTTATTATACTGATGCCTGCTCCCAACCTCCTTGGGTATTCATTTATGCATTTTATTGGCTCTTGGCTAACCTGTAGCACCATCAATCATCTCAATGGCTATTCAGCTCCGATCTGCTCAGCTCTGCCTTTTGTGTCTATATTTATTATTTTGACTGGCCCGATGTCCGGCGCTCATAAGTGGTTCACCTGTTGGCCAACTCCCCTGCTTAGTAGTTTGCAAATAATTTTAATCAATTATGCAAATCGCATTTATTGGACCGTTATTTATGCGATTTGCGGCTGTATGAATACTGAAGATGGAGGAAATGGAGCGAGATGAACTGAGCCTGGCTAAGTTGACAGTTGAAACTGATTTTGAACCATTACTCATCTTTCCGGAAGTGCTATTTGGGCCCACTCACAGCCCTCGAACGTGAACGTAAAGTGCTCTCCGGCTTATATTTATACACCGATTTCGTATATGGCAGTTCTGGTTTCAGGTTTACCCAACTGCGTTCGAAAATCGCTCTCCCCAAGGAGATAAAAAACCACAACGGAGATAAGAACCCTGTATATGGCAAATGCAAATACAAATACGCACCAGAAAAGTATTCGCTGTTCTTTCCGGCACTATCCGTGGCAACCTTACAGGCTGGATTTAATGAATGAATTCAACTTGAATTAAATTCCTCCATATTTCTCCGGTGGTCTGCCTTGTTTTGTTTACACACACTGCAGCTGTTGATTCACCACAAAAGCAAGAAATGTATTTTTCGGCTGCTTTGCTTTGTTTCGCTTTGAAGGTAATAAATTTTGAACACAATTGCATTGCATAAACAATTTCAAAACTGCACTCGAAACGGGCTTTTGTTTACACAGTTGTCGTGTCGATTACATTTCAGCCATGATTTAACTGGTTTATTTGGTCGATTTTGCCAGTAGATGTTTACTGAAACCTGGCGAACGCCCGCGCGAAAATCTTTCAACGCAGCCCACGCACTTTTAGCGGCATCGGAATCGGAATCGCCAACTTCAATTGCCGAAGATACACAAGTTGGTTGCACTGAGAGAAACCGATACGGATAAACACCGATGGAGGCAGCGAACCGAACCTCTGGGCCAGCGATCGAGTTGTGCGCCGCTGAAGTGCTCGGCACGTATTAATTTCTGTGGCAGCGCTAAAGTATCCGAAAGATACATTCCGCTGGTCGCGCACAAGCGCATATGTGGGCAACTTCGCTGCCGACGTCGCCAACTTGTTTGACGGAAAACCAAACAAAAACGAGCGCACAGATCTGCTTCCCAGTCCCTCTGGATGTTTATATTTACACATCTAGAAAACTCGTGGGGGGGGATGGATAGAAGATGATCGCGATGGGTCAGACGTGGGTGACGTCGTATTTAATGAAAAGCGACAAATTGTTGTCACTGCCGTCTCAAGTGGCAGCAGCTCTCGTTTATCTCCATCCGCCTCGGTGGCTTTGTTTCGCGCTAGACAGATATACTTCTGTTCATTCTAATTCTGGAAACTCTGGCATCTGACAGTTGATTGGGTCTTCTACGCACTCCAATTGCCAGCTGGCTGTGTGAATCTGTTTGATTACCAGAATGATTGGATTTAACTGATTTCGGCAGCTGGAAAACAGTAAACTGTAAATCTTGGATTCCAGCGTATGCAAATGTCTCCCATCCAAATTGGACAAGATTGCGGCAAAGTTGTTGTGTGTTTTTTGGCTAATTAAACGTTTTCGGCGAACGGGGCCACAGACATCTTGAATGGGGCCAGTCGAGAGTGTTTTTGATTTGTATTTGCCTTTTGTGGCAGGCGGTTTTTGGCCAAATCTCGAATATACTTCCGCTTCGAAGTGCCTTGGCGGAAATCGCTCTTACAAATCAAATGGTTTGACCGGTGGTTTTGCGGCTTTTGCTCTCTATTATCCACATGGGTTCTATTTAACCCGCAAGTTTTCACTGCCTCATCCAATTATTTATTGTAGTGGAGTGCCCACAATGGAGCGGCTTTCTCCCAACTCAGGTCGCATAGATCAAATACCTGCGCTCCAAACACCTACGATGTGTCTGAACTTGAATATCGATGCTACTTGGGTCACTTGGGTGGCCGTGGCCCCGAAACTGGTCTGGAGGAAGCCCCTTACACCTGCAACTAATGATGTATAATTATACGTGGGTTAAGTTTCAGTTTCCAAAGTATTTTCATTAGTTTGATGGATTTTCTGGCTGGGATGGTATGGTATGACCGGGTCGGGCGTTCCGGCTATAATTATATAATCATTTTAATTGGATCCGGCAATGTTTGCGGCTGTGGCAGCAACGTCGACGTCGACACATAACAAAGATTAATCGTGCCCATGTCGGCGGGTTGGGAGACAAGAAATTGAGCTTAAGTACAAGCTATCTTGCAGATACTTTTGCACATGCAAGGTCGGGTGAGGAGGCGGAGGGGGCGGGGCCCGAATGCAGATTCCATTGCAGCATTACATTCCATTATAACGGAGATTTGCAGGTGCGACGCCCATACTTGACTTCGCCTTGAAGAATTTTAAGGTCCCAAGACATTTATAAATTAGTTGCAATTTGTATCTGCTTCAGCTGTTTTTGCCACTTAAGTCTGCCTGCTCGCATTTCATTAGACCCAAATTAGCTTCATCACGTGATCGTGGCTTCGGAGGAAAGGGGTATCCGGGGAATCGGTCGATGGATCCCGGACCAAAAGGGAAATCCAAACAAGTCAAAACGGAACTCGCACCAAATGGCAGCCTCACATTCTCACATAAATTTCCAGCACTCCGGTGTTTCTTTTTCAGCAGCAGCTCTTCTATTTTCTGATGAGCACCTCTCGCATCACTCTAAATTAATTGTGGGTCTATTGATAGGCCACTTCTTTGTTTTAAGGGACCGTCATTCGGCATTCAGCAGTTATATTTATCCGGCTCTGGAAATTGGGCTTTGCGTGTCGCACGCCACGTTCCGCCACGAAAATTCATAACACTCGGCTGCAGACGAAGTGTCAAAAACAATTCCATAGGCCCAAAACATTGTGGATTCGCTTGAATAATGTATTATGTTATAATTGCGGCGGGTTGGCCGCAGGCAAATCCATTTCGGGCTTTTCCCAAAGCCAATCAGCTGGAAAAATTATGCGAAAGCGTATTTTGTGACCGCAAATAAAGGGCGGCAGCAAAATAGGGTCAACAAAAATGTTGGCAGGAACCAATCGCTTTGATAAACTGGAGTAAAAGATAAACTGAGCTCGCTTAAAACTGTTTATATTGTTTTTGATTTCACTTCCTTATTATCGATCAAAGAAAGCCAGTGATAACCATTAAAGATTTTAAGAACACATTGACCTTATAAAGATGGAAAAGCTAAGTTTGATGATATTAAACTTAGCTTTTCTCGCTCAATTCTATGTTTACAATAATCATTATAAATTACAGATTATATTAATAATAAATTACTGAACATTCAAAGTTTAATAAACTTTCGGTTTTCACTTTCAAATGTTTTACTTGAAATTGATTTGTAAAAATTTAAATATTAAGTCGGTGTAAATTTACCTTTTTAAAACAAAAGTATTTCACTAATTAGCGCATTAGTACATAAACTGGAAACTGCAAAAATAAATCGAATTCAAGCGAAACATTCTAATATCTATGCCATTTTTTTGTGACATTTTATAAGTTATTTTATGTGGAAAGTGAAAAATCCAAATATACCTTCGTTTAATCCCAATAGTTAGTCGAATTGATATCTTATTGAAATGGTTACATTTTTAAGTCAGATTCAAGTAGGGGTGTCAAGCCATGCACTTTAGAATATAAATTACAACCTGTGGTGATGGTAAACCTTAAAATTTAAAAGTAGACACAAAATTCTTGCGTATGAGTAAAAGATGAAGATTGACCGACATTTCAATTTGTCAGGTAAAACCAAAAACCTTTTCAGGAAAAAAGGAAAGCCGCAATGACAAAATGTGAGCAAGGCAGAGAACGAAAAGGTGTTGCAGGATTCTTACGTATAATTTAATAACCCGCATCAAAGTAATCCTTCGATGGCGATACCAATACAGTATTTTACTACACACCGTCCACATTGCCACCACTTCCCACTGAAATGCCATTGCAATTTCCATAGCCACACACTCGACAGGCCACAGTCACCATATTAGTAAGTTGAGGTCATGCATGCTGCCACTGTCATGCCCCACTTAACCATAACTACTCGAATTTCCCAGGCTGCCACTCGTGCACGGAGGGCTCTCTCCGAGGCGCCTCAGACCCAATCCGGACCATTTCAATTAGCAGACACCTCCCGTCCGGACAGGCCCGCAAAATATACTATACACATGTAGGTACACGGTCGCATACTCGTATATTCAGGGCATTGAACATTGGGCTGGAAAAAACTGCTGGCCAATATCCTGGCGGAAATTAATGTTGCTGTGGCAAGCACAATGCCAGAAAGAGGGGCAAAAAACGGAACGGAAAAAAATTGAATGCCACAAACCGATATGATTTGCCGGGGGGGTAGGGATTGAATGAGCCTTTCGCCGTTGTCAGCAGTTCCTTTTTCCTGCTGTTCACATCGACGGATAAGGAGGGCTTAGACCGCAGCCAGGCACGCCCCCAATCGAAAAGCCCATTCCCCCACCACCCATCGAAATCCCCGGAATATTGAACGTGCTCGGCGCATCGGATATGCAACACGACGGGGATGCCGTATAATCGCTATCAATTATATTGCTCAACCCGGGCATTGTTTCGCAATCGACAGAACGGCATCGCCAGACTGCTGTAAACAAGGACTTACCTTGCCATCGGCATCGGCATGTGCATGGTATCGAACCTCCAGCGACCCGCCGAGCACTGCATACCAGAAGCGGCCCTGTTCGCCGGCACGAAAAACTGCGAGGATGAGAATTCGTTAGCCACCTCCTCTGCATATTAAATCCACTCTATCCAACACTCACGTGTCACGCCCTTCTCCAGGTCCTCGTAGAATCCGCACATGGCCAACTGCTGGAGCGCCGATCCTGGAAGGCGACACAGCGGCTCCACGCGTCGCAAGCGGCACGAGATTAACTCCACGTCACGCAAGTTGCGGTCGCAAGGACTGAAAAATTCATATTTATACAATAGTTAGGCATCTGCGATAATCACAATGTAAGTTAGGATTTTACCATGTTAATAAAATAATAGCACTTTTCTTAGAAAACTCAAAATTGTTGCCAACTTTACTCTGTTGTTCCTGTTACAACTATAGGATATAGGCTAAAAACTGAGGGAGCAAATTTTAGAGGAACAGACGGACATGCGCTAAAATAATAATTAATATTATGATTCCGTTGAAATGATTTGTTAAAAACTGATTAACCTTTAACCTGGTGTTCTTAAACATATAATATATAAATATAAATATAAATATAATCGGCTTAAAGGTTTTTAATACATTGTTATTTTTAGCAAAATGGCTTTAATAATTATTTAAATAAATGAAATTTGATCAAATTAATACATTATTTAATACATTTTTCTAACAATTGTACTTCAGCCAGCTGAATTTACCTACTTTTTTAGTTACACGTATGGTAAGTTATATTCTTTAACATATTTAATGGATTAACCTTATTTGTGTTCTGTTTCATTCATAATATAAAGTGTATTTTACATGGTTGGTTTATAAGTACTTTTTATCTGTCATTAAAGCAACTCACTCGCATAATCCGAAAAAGATTTTAAGAACCTTTATCTGTATTTTAAAATGATAAATCTGAAAAGTGCAGCAAAATAAAATATAAATAAGTCCCTGGGCAATGGATTCCGGGTATTAAACAATTCCAAGCTGAGCCCAGTCGTGTTGAACAATAGACAGCAATAAAGCAATAGGAAACTCAAAAAAGAAAAAAAGAAACAACGAGTATTTTGCATTTATAATTTACTGACTCTATGCAAAGCACTGCACTTGGATTTGTTCTATTTTTGGTTGCTGAACAAGGCCATAAACTGAATAGAAAAAGAGAGGAGATGGGAAAGCAAAGGAAAGTAGAAGCTTAACAATAAACTCAAATTAAAAATGCCAGTGTCATTTGTGCATGGTTTGTGCTCGCATTAAATATGCAAATTCTATTTTTTTCTTTGTCTGCCTGAGTGAGAGTCAATTGAAAAATGAATAAATAAATATAAGAGTTTCCGGGCAAGAATCTCGCAGGAAACGGAAGCGCACCCAGGAAAATTAAAAGAAAGGGGAAAACAAGTTTAAGCACTGAAAGCGAAGCAGAAATTAACTGCATAAAACAAAAAGTTTTACTTAAAAGATTTAAAAAACACTCTAGAATTCTTGAAAGTAGCTTTAAGTCAATTTGAACTTAAAACATTTAATCCATAAAATTAGTTTATTTTGCCTTGCTTATGTTGTTTATGAACAACAATTTACTTACAAATTTGTTTATCCTGTGTTTAATATCAACTAGAAATTGTATTCCAAAAAAGATTTTGGTGTGAAAATATGTACAAGAAATGAGTTCCAGAAACCAAAAAATCTGCTATACTAATTCTGTTAAAACATTTTTAAATTGTATATAATTCAAAATAAATAGTTTCACTCTTTTTTAAGGTGAGATTTCTTAAAGTCCATGTGTGATGAACCAATTTCGATGCTAGAATGTTTACTTTCATCCTTGTAAATTTTTTGTGTTGCACATTAAAATTTTTCTTTTGTATTTATATTTATTCTTTTATGTTGATTTCGATTTAAAAAAAAGTAAATTAATATGAATGTATTTAAATGAAAGTGCAATATTTGGTAATATTTAAACCCCTGGCATATAAAATATAACTAAAAATAAATTTACAATTTTGGCTATATAATTCAAAAAACCTAAAATCACCATAAAGTACCTAGATCTTCTTTTCATGGGCAAGCGCCTAGTAGCTTAATTATATCTCGAATATTATATGGTGGTGCTAATGTTGCAAATTGGATTTCCAACAGTCTTCATTAAAAAAAAATAGCAAAAGTTTTAGATCTTAATGAGACGAGCGCTGGCCCACAATAAATCTATAAGGACCGTCGACATTTTACACTCCTCCCTTGGCTTCCGCCTAATTAAAAATTCCATAAAATTGCGAGGGAACGGATGAGGGGGGATCAGAGGAAGAGGTGACCTGGGTGAACTGCCCCAGCTTGCAGACAAAGGCTGCTTGCAAATCGAAAATAAAACACAAGTTGGCCTTCGCCGGGGCATCATCTGCATTGAGGGCTACTTTTGCAGCGAGACGTCTACTTTTTGGCGCAGCCGTTGAACAACTTTCATCTGCCTGCTGGAGCTAAGCGGCTGTCTTGCCGGGCTCATACATAATTCATTCGCCAGTGGAAGCGGCAATTTTGGGAAACCGAGGGGCACGATGCCCTGCCCCCCAGTGACGCCGACTGTTTCTGGGCTTGTCGTTAACCAAACAGTCAGGTCCTAAGTGCTTTCGATGGAAAGGGAAAGGCGAAGGGGCTGCGGTGGTCCAAAGAGCCGGAAGCGCGTTGGGCTTCATCCTAGGCAGGCTATGCCAACCCAGGGCTCGTTGTTTATTATAATGGTTTTTGCGGTTTTTAGGCACACGCCCCAAAGTTTAGTTTTGGAATTTTGTAATTGCCGTGCCGGCGATTCGTCAGACTTTAAGGTGCTGGAGAAATTGCTGGCATACATTAAAGCTGCTATCAGCACACGTGGCGTATGATAAATGCCTAGTGGCACTCGTGAGTAAGGCGACTTTGGCCGGGAAGCCATCAATATCAATTGCTGTCTGGCTTTGCCACTTTACGCTTTACGTACTGCGATTACCTTGCCTTTTTTCCAAGGATACGCAGGATTCATTGGCTTTTTCGTTTGTATGCACCGAGCGTGTCCTTGTGCTCCAGCTTCAGGTGTGTACTTAAGCCCAGATCGCTCTTGATAAGCCGAATTACCAGCCAGCGATTCCCGCTGCCGTGACTTGGCCTTCTTAGCCGAGACCTCTGCCATTAATTCTGGCCAAATTAAATCATTTATTTTGTTAGGTTTTTGCTGAATGCGAGGCCATTTGTATTAAATGCTGAATGACTTGCCGCTTGAAAAAAGAACTGAGCCATTAGGAGATATCGCAACTCCAATCTGGAAAGCTGCTGTGATTATTATTTTAGGTTTGTTTTAGTTGGAACTGCAGCCTGCATCCCGGCGCTCGGCTCTCTCTCTTTGAGCTGGGCAAACAAAAGGCAGCAAATTGCAAATATTTGCCCCAGGCACAAGGCAAACAGTTTGCTTTAAGCCTTTGCCACTTGACCTTTCTTTTTGCCGCTGCTGCGCGCAGTCACATGAGTACCCGCTGACCCCCTGACCCCCTGAACATTTGAACACAGAGTTAGGGAAGCGTTTAAGCGTTGACAGAGCATGAAATTTGAAGAGATTGCCCTGTGATTGATGGTGTGGAGGGAGGCGGTGGCACGCCCCATTCGGATACCAGCAATGAAATATAAGGCCACTCCGCAATAATAGAATGTGCCGCAGAACTGAGCAGTCGGTGGGTCATGCGAGGCTAATGGTGGCACTCGTCAAGTGCTTTTCCCAGCTAAAATCGAGCAAATTGCATCAAGTGGCGAGTACTGCGAGAGAATGAGTGTTTGAGCCTCGACCATTCACGCATGAACAAATTGATTTAAGTACACAAAAGAAAACAATGTTGATTTGGTGACTTAATAAAAAAGAAAGCAAATTTCGGCAAGCCAAAGACCATATGCAAAAGTATATAAAAATAAGCATAATAATATATAATTAAACTATAAGTATTTGTGTTTATGCACTGTATCGTTTTTGTTAAAAAAAAGGAAGCCGGTTTATTATCAAGGGAATGCTAAAAGGGAACCTGAAGACCTTTTGGAAAACATTGATATCTAAATGATTAATCTCCGTTAAAACGAACTGAACATATTTATTTTTTCCCAACGAAAATATTTTTTTTGGGAATTTATTATTTAACTATAAATGTATTTTAATGGAAATACCAATTAATTATATTGGTTTTGAAGTTAAATATTAATAGACTCATAATTAATATATTAGTAGTAATTAGTTATCATGAATTTTGCCATAAACACGAGAAAAATTGAATAAATTTCAACGATTCTAGTAAAGTACAAATTACTTTACACAAACGTTATTATAGATTATGTTTTTAAAGCCATAAATCAATATATTCGTTGCATTTAAAATAACATTTGTATTGCGCACTTTTAATAATCCATTACATTTCGGTTTCCTATTCAAGCCCGATGATATAATTGCTTTGCCAATGGCGGCTCAGTGAGTCAAAAAGAATTGGTATTGAGATTTAATAAAGCGGATAATTCGTGGCAGGCCGAGTCCACAATACGGATTGGTCTTTTGCCAAACGGCAATGATGGAGGGAGATTGAGTGGGACTCAGTTGTTGGCTCTTGACAAATGAATGTAGAGCATGACGGCAACATTTTAAAATGTTTCGCTTCTCGTTCTTGTTTTGTTTGTACTCCATGTCGAGCATTTCATTTAACGTGCGTGTGTACGTGTCTTCATTGGGAAAACAAGAGGAAAGAAGTTTGTGCACTCATCTTTAAAATGTGACGGAAAATTAAAGAAAATGTGCAACATTCAAGAAAGCATTGAATTGGACTCTCAGAAACTTTTGGGTTTGAGCTAAGAACTTATAATTTAAATTACGAAAAAGTTTTTCATTTCAATCTGAGCTGATGATCTAATTAAATTGCCTGCCTTGAAAAGTATGCTTTATATAGATATACGGGGAAAAATTTAAGCCCCCATTCCACTTACCGTTTGTCCATTGCAGTTATCCATTCCATCGCCATGTTGGCTTTTATTTTAATTAAACTTCCTTTGCGCGATTAATTTTTTGTCGTTTTGAAATTATTATAAATTATCAAAAGCACATGCCATAAATACCGAACGAAAATGTGTCTCTGGCGCGCCGCAACTTTCAACAGAAAACATAAATCGAAGCGGAAGGAGAGTTTGAAGTTGTGCAAGTTAATGGCGCATTGCGGGCCAGGAAAGCGAAATCAAAATACCGGAAAATGGCGGCCTCTCGCTGTCAGCTTGTGCCGTCACCTCAATCCGCGATGTTGCCTTCAATTTGCGATTCCCTTTGAGTGTATATGATGCCACCGTTTGTGGGGCACTGCCAGATGGCTTAGCACAGCATCGCACTCGAAATCCGCTTTTGGGAGCGACGGAGCGAGCGCTTTTCCAGTTTCAAGCAAAGGGTAAGCGAAAGTAACTTGTTGATTAAGCGAAAGTTCCGAAATAGATTTTAATTTGAGTTCCCGTTTGGCTGTCGTTGGGGATTCCGTGCAGCTGCAAAGTTAAATTGGGCAAATGTGAGACAGAGTTTTCAGTAGACTAAATCTACTGCAAACTAAGTGTAAGCTAGCCTTGGGCTCGCAAAGGGAATTTAATATAATTTATATAAAATGCCAACAGCAGATGTAAAAGTTTTTCCTCTTTTACATTTTTTCAGCTACAAAACTAATGTGGATTGCTATTGTTGGACTTGCCAAAAAGGGTTTATCCAACGTCTCTCTGTGTGGGAGTGTGTGTGTTGCCAACTGCTGACAGCTGCCCAGAAGGCCCTAATGCAGGCATGTGTGTTCTGTGTTGGTTTGTGGGTATCTCTGTGTCCCCCAACAAAAGCAAATGTTATGAATAAGCTTTGATGCGAACACCGTTGGGAGGGGAAAAGGTGGGGGTGTTGTGTTTTGGAGAGGGGGATAACTAACAAACTGTCGGGGTACTAATCTAACAATAGTTTCCCCAGATAACAATAGATTACTCAACACACGGCGTATACTTAATGCGCTGTCAATAGGCATACGCATACTGATTTCCCGGAATACAAAAACCCAGATCGTATAGCATGCAAAAGTACGATCTCCCCAGCACTAACGTGCTGAAATCGTGTTGTTTACCATTCACTGCACTATCTATATCCATATAATGGCTGCGTATTATTTTTTCTGCGTCAATGGAAAAACATAATTTATGCCCATCTATCAGAAGTGCACCGCGTTGCAGTGTCTTTCGACAGTGAAATGTGAATGCAGGAAGAACAATTACACAACTGCCGGTTGAAGTGGGACGGCACCGAGAAGAGCCATCAGTTTGCACATGAATAATTAAGTATACGCCACCTCGGCCAGCGGAGGCGCCTCAATGTATGCCACGTTTTCTGACGTGTCGCTCGCTAGCTGGCTGCACGTAAATTGTGACAAAAGCCCAAAGGGAGATAAGACTGATATTGCCGATATTGTGTGTGGGACGATTCGATAAGGGCCCACTATCGGACGTGTTCCGCAAATGGCAGCTCAATACTTTTGTGTTCAGCGAGGAGTTGGACTTCCCCTGCCAGCCAAATGCAATTAGTGTCCGGAATAAAGGTTCTCCTTCGGTAAAACATTAGAGAAGGAGTTGAGCAAGTTTTGAAATCGCCCAGGAAACAGATGTTTCATGTAATTTTCACTTTAGGGGTTTCAAACTTAGTTTTTAATTAAGCAACCGACTGAAAGCAAAACTTTGAGCCACAATAAATGTGATTTAACTTTCCACTGCAGTCGTTACTAAGGGGAAAACTTAGCCATTTAGCTGGGTCATTGTGTGAGCAATCAAAATGAATCAAATACTTACGCATCCTCTGAGTGGAGAAGGGGATCAGAAGATGCAAGTAATGGGAGAGATCCAAGGAAAAAGTTTTAGAAACTCGAACAAAACCAAATTAGAAAAACTCAAGTCATAGATTTTAAATCACTCTGAACACCAAAAAACGAACGCGAAAATAACTGTTTAATATTTCAACAACACTAAACTTCGGAACTTGATCAACACTTATAAGACCGGAAATTAAAAATAACCAATTTTTTTTAAAACGTTTTTAAGCACTTGGTATATACAGTTTTTGGGTAAACATCTCAGTTCTGAAATTCCGCTGAATCGCTGGCGCGTCCGATTCATTTGGTAGTCGCGTCGCAACTGTTTGGCCGATTTGCGATTCCCGAGCTGCTGCTCGGCGCTCTTCACCACGCTCCTGTCCTGCGCCTAACAGGTGAGTTTCCCGGAGGAGGCTGGGGGAGGGGCCGTGGTGGGTTCTGGCTCTGGCCGCCTTGGCTGGGCGGCTGTTGAGAATTACTCATTGCCGATGACTGCAGTGTTGACGGCTGCGGTGCGGTATTTTTGGCCTTGTTGTTTTGCCACCTCAACTCCTTCCTCCATTCACATTTTTGGCGGGTTTTTTTAGCAACAAGTTTGACAAATCCTCCGCACAGTGGTCCCAGGATTGAGCTTAGACAAAAAATTGGGCTAGTGAAATTGGATGAATACACACCAATTCTACAATATTGAAGAATTTTAAAAACTTGTGGTTGTTTATGAGAATATCACTCAAAAAGAAATTTCTCAAACTATATATATCTGTATGGTAGCTACATCAAAAATTGATTCCTTGTTAAATCTTATTTATTAAAAGCCGAAAAAGTAATGCCGATTTCACCAGATTTTTGTAAGACAGCTTTATGATAAAAGCTAAAAATAAGATTTTTGGAAACGTTCCGTTATATTCCTTTAAAATTGATAGACTAGCTTCAATAGACAGAAATACTGACATACAAGTTTTGGCAAAAGGCTATGTGATCTATAAGAAAACATCTGGAAAAACCTATGGTTTTTTACAACTTAAACAGTTAAACTCGCTTATAAAAGCTGCAGTTTAGAGGTGAGCAAATAAAATAAAGTGTCTGCGTTTAATATTAATTAAGAAGAGAATTAAAAATGTATCAACTCGGATATTTTACTTAGCCCAATCAGCATGTTTCAGCAACATGTGTTGCTCGCTCTTCGTTTATCTGCGGAGCAACAAACTGTTGAGCGTTATTTTGGTGAGTCGTCGCAGTGGCCAGCACTTCAACAGGCAATTGTCCGTCCATTCGGCAGTCGGACTGACAGCCCACTACCGCCCATCACGCACTTGCCTGAAATTGCACATAAAATGGAATCGCAATGCGAAACAATCAACGTGTCAATTAAATAATGCACACCACCGACAGCGTCGAAACTACAAGCCAAACCAGCGTGGACACTCGGACTTTTGGACATTTGGACATTTACTGACATTTTGTCACTGGCAGCGAATGAATCAGCCGATTCACTCGTGTGAGCACCTGAAAAGGTGCGAAAATGCAAAGCGTTCCTTTTGTTTTCCGCCCGTACTTCACACTTTTCCCGGGGCCTCCATTTGAAGCTGTTGTTGTGGTCGCTGCCACAATATTTACGGTACTCTCGAGTGCCTTTATTTCCGCATGAATCATTCCCAGTTTCAGTCCCAGCTCCACAGCCTGCCCACAACGCGTATAAATTCTTTGCGTTTCCTTTTGCAGTTGCTGCACAGTGAAGAAAAATGCGAAATAAGTTTGAAATATAAGAATTTTATTAAAATTAAAGGCTTTTGCTAAATATATTCTATCTGTTAAAAAACCAATCAAAAATTAGACTAATGAACTTTACAACTTTAAAAGACCCATTGTTTCTTCAGATCTCTTTACACATTTTTATTTTTAATTCGAAATTTTTCACTTCATCTTATTGTCAAATGTCAACTGAGATGTTTGTAACATCATTAAATAAGACTGGTTTTTACACCTTTTTAAACAAAAATAAGAAAACATTTTTATAATATGGTACTAAAATATATAACACATTTTTGTATTTTTTAGGTACTTTATTATTAAAATAATTTTAGTTACATTAAAACAGAGCTGACATAGTAGAACTGATATATTATTTTTTCTGTGGTATGTACTTTTGCTTCTCCATGGTGTCTGCCTGTCGCATTTTTTATGAGCTGCCCCATGCCGACAGGACCATCATAGACATTTTTTCGGGGCGGCCATTCTGGAATGAAATTCCTGGAATTTTACGGCCGCTTTGCCTGTTGAATATGTCATCGCATGGTGGTGGCAGTCATGTTCCTTTCAGCTGGCAGACACAACAGCCCGTCGGTAATTATGATAAATGCGTTCTTAATAAACTCAGCTGGTGGGCACGGCCAGTGTTAAAGACTTCGTAAATACGGAGTCTCCGAGGGGCTTAATGCATTTTCTTGCCATCATCAACGCATTGTGGCACCTGTACTGGACTAATGGCGCTTCCTGCCTTCCATGTCCTGGCCATTAGCAGAAAATGCTGTTGCACATTGATCGACCCGACAACGTTGTTTTCCAACTCCTTTCCCAGTCCCAGTCAGAACGCCAGTCACTCACTCAGCCAGTTTGGCCAAAGCTGTTGGTACGTGTTTATGGCCTGATTGCACTTGCCCCCACCTGCTGATGTCATTAGGATCTGGAGTCGCATGTGTGGCAGTCGGGGCAGGTCGTTACACTTGCTCTTTAGTTGCATTAATGGTTATTCAATCAACGTTGAACGCAAATTGCCTATTAAAGCTACACTCTGCTTTCAACGCCCCCGTCCCCGCCCACGCATCATGCAAATGTTTGTGTATTATGGCCATGTAATTTGATTAGCTGATAAATGAGGTAACACACGTGCATGCAGGAGGGATATGGCCATGTTATGACTAGCTAATAAGCCACTCGCTTACTCCGTAAGACTAAGATAGTTCATCGAATTCCCTCTGCACCAGCAAACGATTTTGTAGCATACATTTATGGGCAGCTTAAGTCACTCTTTGTGTTGGTTATTGCCGATATTGATATCTGCCTTTCGGGATTTCTGTTTAACTGTGTTCAATAAATGTTTACAAGCACCAGGATGAGCAATTAGCAGTAACTTAACCCTAGGCAGTGTGTGGATACAGCATTTAACTTAACCAAAACTATCTCGGTTTCAATTGGAAACAATTAAGTGGGTCTTCAATTAAAACAAAACTCTATAATTTCAATTTCAATTACAAAGCTACTAAATATAAAAGCATAATTCTGCTGAACTAGCTATAAATTGCTTTCCATATAAATAAGTAATAATTATTTACGGATTCCTATCACTACTTTTCCAAGAAAATATTTAACAATGCTTGTGGTTTTCCAATGTAAATATAAAATTTGTAGTAACGAAATCTCTGTCAATCCCCGCCATCCGGCAAATCCCTGCAAATCAAAAGTTAATAGACGCAATGGAGTCTCTGTCATTTGCATTCAACCAAAAACTTGATTATCCGCGCGATTTACGGAGCGCAATTGTGGGCGGACAGGCGACTGAGGGGGCGGTGGGGATGGGCAAACAGCGCGCTTAATGAGCTCAGTGAAATGTGTGCTTAAAATTAACTTTCAGCCAACAAACTCGTCGCTGCAAATTGTCCCTGTTGCCAACGTCGTCGGTCGCTTTTGGCAGCTGTTGCTCAGCCAGACTCGGTTCATGGCCCATAATTACGCATTCAATTCGGCAGGCAGCCCCAGTTGAAGCTAGCTTTATCGCAGAAGGGTTTCTCGGTTGCCCCAGCCTGCTTTAATAATTAAGTCTCTTGAAAATCAAGACATCGTGTCGGACAACAAAAGTCCCAGAGCAAACACAAGTAGAGGGAAGGGAAGGGGGTTGACGAGGGAAGGCCATGAAATTGTGCGAGGACTTAGTCAGGGGTCGACTTGACCATGGCCAACTGTTGGCTGGCTGGCAAATGTTGTCATCTGCAAGCCAACATCCTGCGAATGCAGCCCCGCAGTGAAAATGTTGTGACACTAAAAAACTAATTTCTCGCTTTGTTGAGCATAATTTTATGCAATTGTTTTCTGATTAAATTTCAGAGTGAAAAGTGCCCTGGCAGACCCGCGTGATGCGTGCCACTTGGCCGAGTGAATTTGCATTTTGGCTGGCCTTTTGTTTCCGAGTCCCGCTGGCGGAAGCAATTGAATGTCAGCCAGGCATCCACAGTGCACATTTAATCGATTTTGGCATGGCTTTCAGTGCGCTTTCGTCAGCAACTTGCTGCAATTAAAATTCTTATTATTTGCTGTCAGACGACGCCACATGGCGGATGCTTGATGTTCAATTTGAACGTTAATCGCCCGATAATTGGATTAATTAATGGCCAGGCAGCGGAATGTCATTAATGGGGGAAAACCCAGCCGAACCCCCCACCTGGATGGCTCCACCATTTGCCACCTTGAGGTGGCAAGTTCAATGGCGTTCGCTTCTGAACCTAAATGGGTTCTTCGACTGGGGACAGAACTGTATCGTATCGGGTGCATTGAACGGGCGCACCATCTGCCATATACGTCGGCATTGGGCAGCATGGAAAAAACGGAATTGGAAAACCGAAACCAATTTACATTTTGTTTACCTTTTTGCCTGCACACCTCTGTGGCTACCGACTTTGCTTTTGACAGCGTTGAAAGCGCAGGGAAGTACGAGAATCTACGTAGTTCTTCCTAGGTAATGGAACTGAGATGTTGGTTTTAGCTTGTTTTATCCTTAATTCGTTGGAAAATCTCAATTCTACCGAAGCTCATTAGTACTTGCCTTACAATAAGTTAATTGGTTCCGACTTCAAGCAAGCTCTTTTTTATACCCTTGCAGAGGGTATTATAATTTTGGTCAAAAGTGTGCAACGCAGTGAAGGAGACGTCTCCGACCCTATAAAGTATATATATTCTTGATCAGGATCACCTCCTGAGTTGATATAGCCATGTCCGTCTGTCCGTCTGTCCGTCTGTCCGTCTGTCTGTCCGTCTGTCCGTCTGTCTGTTTCTACGCAAACTAGTCTCTCAGTTTTAAAGCTATCGAATTAAAACTTTGCACACACCCTTCTTTCCTTTGCACGCAGTATATAAGTCGGAACGGCCGGGATCGGCCGACTATATCCTATAGCTGCCATATAACTGATTGATCGGAAATGGCATAACTTTCGTGTTTATAAAGTTAGGAAGTTGAGATTTTCTATGGGTTTTATATTTGGCCAATCAATCCGACCTACCAAATTTCATAAGGATCGGCCGACTATATCCTATAGCTGCCATA